TGTATTGGTGTTGATTAAGCGGATATGAGAGTCTAATGTTAAGATAAATAATAAGGGTGACAAGGGGCAACCCATTTTTGATGAGAATCGTATCAGACAGAGTCCCATTTACCTTAATTTGTGCAGAAGGGATGTGATACAGCGAGGAAATCCAGGTCATCATTTTTTGACTAAGACCTATATGGGAACAGGTGGCCATCATATAATCCCATGCTACCCTATCAAAGGCCTTTTCTGCATCTGTAGAAAGTAGTAGGCCTTGTATGTTATCTGTGTTGGCTGTATAGATGAGGTTAAGAGCCTTTATGATGTTATCCCTGACTTTTCTCCCAGGCATAAACCCTACCTGTTCTGGACCGATAAGTGTAGTGAGTAAGGGCCGCAGTCTGGCTATAAGTTTGGCTAGTAATTTTAGATCTACATTGCTGAAAAGGCTTTCAATAGGGTTCACTGACAGTATCTCGACTCTACTCTCCAATTTCGGTATGTACGGATACATCAAATCGGCTATCACAGCATTATACACAGTACCTTCCGCACAAGTTTTTACATCCAATGCCTTGTCAGATCCCTTCCCAATCACAAACAGTACCAGATAGGGATGTCCCCTCTCCCCTATTATTTTTTCTTTGGTGATGGAACCCCTGGCGACCTCAATTAGATTGAATCCGTTGATTTCGGGTATATAACAGCAAATATATCCCACAAAATTGACCTCTTTGCAGCTCATGTTATACTTACCATAACGGACCCATTGACTTCATTGACAGCAATCTCTTCTACGCTTACAATGTTCAGCAGCATCTCATATTCTAAACTCAATATTACTAAATCATGTGCACTTCCTATAGGGATTCCAAAAGATCTTTTACATTGTCTTAAAAACGAGTTCTTGTACAGCTGGTCCACTAAGCATCTGTAGTATTTGGATATTCGGGTGTCCTCCCCTTCTTCCAACATGTTCAAAGACAATTACGAGGAACTATACCAGGTGATCTCAAAGGATCTATTAGCAATAGGAAAACATGAGCTTTCGTGGTTGGGCAGAGTAGCGGCCATTAAGATGTTGATCCTGCCTATACTCATACTATTTTAGAACGATCCCGCTCCTTCTCTCCCATTCTTATTTTAGTAAGATATATTGTTGAAAAAATATATTTGGAAGGGGAATAAGCCTAGAATCCCATTTTCGGATCTCATTAAACATAAATCTAAGGGGGGTGTAGGTTTCCCTGTTGTACCTAACTACTATTACGCTGCACTGCTAGATCAACTTCAAAACTGGCTGATTCCACTCGGATAAGCTTTGGGTACAAATAGAGAGAAGCACAGTCCCAGCTGGGGATCTTCAGGCTCTACTACTTGTGAAGACTATTTCCCCGAAGTTAATGCAAGCATACCTTCCCTCTATTTCCGCGACATTGAGCGCATGGTTAATAGGATTATCTACATCCACTCCTTCTACCCCTGAGATTAAACTAGACATACCATTAACAACCTATGGACATCTTATTCGCAATCTTAATATAAAACCTTTGAGAGAAGCGTGCTACTCTAAGTTTACTGACATCCTTGTGTCACAATTAAGGGGAAATAACTACCCATTTTTTTCAGATTCGAGCTTACCTTTGTTCCAATTACAATTCGGGGGTGGAGGTGGACTCTAAGATTGGAATATTTTATCGAACTTGTCTGGATTACAAAAGGGCATTTCATGGTTTTACAAATTCTTACAATATGACTCTGAGCACTCAGTGATAGCATGTATGGAGAGGTGGGAGAGGGACTTGGGGAGATCCTTTACTCCAGAAGAGTGGCAAGCGGCCTGGTCCTGTAACATCAGTCTTTCAAAGTGTACTAATCATTGGGATAGCTCCCTTAAGATGTTATACTGCAGTTTGTCTTACCCCATATAAACTTTCCAAGATTTACCCTGATGCATCGCCTTTTTGCTGGAGGGCTTGCAGTGGGGTTGGAAACTTACTACATGTTCTTTGGGGCTGTGTGCGTATGCGGGAATTTTGGAGAGAAGTTTTTGCTTTGATCTCTCGGGTGTCAGGAATACGAACAAGTCCCAATCCTCATCTGGCATTATTAAATATTACATTAAATTTATTTCCTGTCCAATGTCGAACAATCATTGCCCACATCTTAACTGCTGCCTGGTTAACTATCACTAAACCGTGGAAATCTACTACATCTCTTCCTATTTCGGAAGTGATTACTAGAGTACACTCCTATTATCTATATGAGAGGTCCTATGCATTTTCGAATCATATTATATGGGTAGTCGATGTTAAATGGCTGCGCTGGAACATTTTATTCAAGCTCTCTGACCTATGAGTGTAAGGTACCATACGGCATGGATATTGGCATTTTACTGAATTCTGTTGGATATGTTGGATTTCTTGCTTTATTGTACTTATTTGTCTTTTTTCTTTTTTTTTTTTTCTCTGTTTATCTTTTTTTGGTTAAATTTCTGTTCGACTGTTCTCGTAATGGATGAAATTCTATTCTTTGTGTATCAAATGTGTCATATGGGGAAGTGAAACGTGCATTGATTTGTTCTGAGTGTTAAATCTGTGGTGTATCTGCTAACCTCTTGCGTATAGATATGTTCCTGACATCAATATCAGATAATTGTACGTATTTGCTGAATGAATTCTGTATAAATTTGAAAAATGTGATGCTATTTCGACTTCTGTTACAGTCGTCCACTGTTATGTTATTGTCTTGAAAAACTTTAATAAAAAAGAGTTGAAAGAAATATGTGCCAAAAAATATTATAAAAATATATATGCCGAAGCATAGGGGGAGGTCAGCCACTAGATAGATAATAAACAGGTGGTGCACACACCTAGTGCATTATCCAAGGTTTATTCAAAGGTATGAAAAGTAAAAACATACTCACAGACGAAGCATGTATCTAAAATACATTTGCATAATGACGATGACCACAACGGCAAGCAAGGTGTTCCAACTATAAACATAAATATGCTCAGTGAAAATTAATAAAAGAAACCCTTCATTAGATAATAATTTCAAATTAAAGTCCAAAATATATATAAAATTATAAAAATTAGAAACCGAAATGTCCAAAAATATATATATCCAATATCCCAGTAAAAAAAATAAATACGTGTAGTCCAAAATTGATTCAAGTGTAAAAACTCTCCACCGCTTGCAAAAACTTGATTACCTCAAAAATTAAAAAAAAAAAATATACATAGTGCATGTCAGGAATGGACTGGCCAGCAATATTGGGACTCACCTGCCTTATGAGCTGCAGTACCAGGGCTGGCCAGCGGGTGCTCCCAGCAATCAGAGACTCAACCTTGCAGCCAGTCAAACACCTGGAACTAATTATACTGGTGTATTTAAGGGACATTCAGACCTGCAGACTCTGCCTTGGTGTTGTGTTTCTCCTGGGCCCTGTTTCCTGTTCCTGTCTGATTCTCTGCTGACCCTGCTCTGATCCCTGGCTTGTCTGACCATTCTCCTGCTCCTGATCCCTGGCTTGTCTGACCATTCTCCTCTGCCTGACCCTCTGTACCACGCTGCCCGCTACCTGCTGAACCTGGCTTGTGACCCCGACCATTCTCCGCTTGCTCCCCCTGTACCTACCTGCCCGATTGATATTGACCCGGCCTGCCTGACGACGTTTGCATTGTATGTACTGTTATCTGTGGGTGGTTTGGTTTGGTTTGTTTGCACTGTGTTATGTTTTAGTATTGCACTGCGTTTATGTTTGTATTGTTAGTGTTAATAAATTACATTGTTTATAACATATCTGAAGTCTGCGTTTCCCTGCGTCAGTCACACACCTCTGGTCACACCCGGGAGCCCTGACATTACACCAAGGCCAATCCTGACCAGAAGTGGCTGCACAGGGAAGCCATCTTGGTTTGTTGATGGGAAGGATGGATCTGGATGAGGTTGCGTATTTATATCTGCTAGTGTTTGATGACAGGGAGTATGCTTATCAAACTCTGAAGGAGTATACCCGGGATGAACTGCTAGAATGTATACGGCTCGCTCATGTTCTAGTAGATCAGGGCACAGAGTTCTCTGAGGTGCACCCATTGATTGAGGTTTGTGCTGAGTTGGTTTCATCTGGTACCCCCGAATGCAGGGATGAATTTTTGCCACCATTTAGTGCAGACCAGGTAGAGTCCCTGGTGTGGTTATTAGAGGATGATGTGGGTTACTTTCTGGAGCGTTATTCCACATGTTCACCACAGGTACTAAGAGATTGTATAAACGCAGTGCAGTCTTTGGTCAGACAGGCTTTGTGTAAGCTCAGCTTTGTTCAACCCATACTGCAGACATGGACAGATTTGTTGCACCCAGCCTCAGTCAGCTTACAAAAACCCAGTCCTGCTTCTAATCTATTTCCTCAAAACTCTATTCCTGCATTCCCAACAGCTCCTCCTGCCCTGCTATCTACCGCATGTCAGTACCCTGTTCCCACTTGCTGCACCTATCCTGCCTTTAACCCTGTAAAAAAGCCCTCTGTAGCAACTGCTCCCTCTCCTGTTCCATCCTCCAGTTCTTCTCTGTCTCCAGCTGCTCCATTCGTTTGCAGACCTGCGTTTACTTGCAGTGCTCCAGTAGTTAAAACCAGAAAAAAAGCGAAAATTCTTTCCAACCAATACCATCCTGCCAGTATCCAAACGGTGAACCTGCCTTCCGTGGTTCAGCCTGAATCCTCTACTCAGCCTTAAACCTCTGCTCAGCCTGATGCCTGTACGCAGCCTGATGCCTCTACTCGGCCTGATGCCTCTATTCGGCCTGATGCCTCTACTCGGCCTGATGCCTCTACTCGGCCTGATGCCTCTACTCGGCCTGATGCCTCTACTCGGCCTGAAGCCTCTACTCGGCCTGAAGCCTCTACTCGGCCTGAAGCCTCTACTCGGCCTGAAGCCTCTACTCAGCCGGACGCCTGCATTCAGCCTGATGCCTCTACCCAGCATGATGAACTGATCCAGCCTGACGATCCAATGCCAGACGACTCGGTGCCCGCAGTCTTGCCAGACGACTCGGTGCCCGCAGTCTTGCCAGACGACTCGGTGCCCGCAGTCTTGCCAGACGACTCGGTGCCCGCAGTCTTGCCAGACGACTCGGTGCCCGCAGTCTTGCCAGACGACTCGAAGCCCGCTGTTCCGCCAGTTGACTCGATGCCCGCTGTTGATCCAGATGATCCGGTACCTGATCCGGCGCCCGCTGTCGAGCCAAATGACCTGATGCCTGGTAACCCAGCGCCCGCTGTTATACCTGGTGACCCGATGCCCGCTGTCGAGCCAGACAATCCGGTACCTGATGACCCGGTGCCCGCTGTCGTGCCAATTGAGTCAGAGCCCACTGTCGTGCCTGGTGATTCGGTGCCCGCAGTCTTGCCAGACGACTCGGTGCCCGCTGTTCCGCCAGTTGACTCGGTGCCCGCTGTTCCGCCAGTTGACGACTCGATGCCCGCAGTCTTGCCAGACGACTCGGTGCCCGCAGTCTTGCCAGACGACTCGGTGCCCGCAGTCTTGCAGATGACTCGGTGCCCTTGCCAGTTGACTCGGTGCCCGCAGTCTTGCCAGACGACTCGAAGCCCGCCGCTCCGCCTGGGGGTCGGTCGCCTGCCGCTCCGCCTGGGGGCCTGAGACCTGTCACTCCGCCTGGGGGCCTGAGACCTGTCGCTCCGCCTGGGGGTTCGGCGCTCGGCCTGGGGGTCCGGCGCCCGCCGCTCCACCTGGGGGCCCGATGCCTGTCGCCCCGCCGGGGGGGCCCGATGCCTGTCGCCCTGCCGGGGGGCCCGATGCCTGTTGCCCCTCCTGGGGGCCCGGCACCCGCCGCTTCGCCTGGGGGCCCGATGCCTGTCGCCCCGCCTGGGGGCCCGATGCCTGTCGCCCCGCCTGGGGGCCCGGTGCCTGCTGCTTCACCTGGTAATCTCCCGATGTGCCTCTGCCCGGAGTCCAGCCCGATGTGCCTCTGCCCGGAGTCCAGCCCGATGTGCCTCTGCCCGGTGTGCCGCTGCCCGGAGTGCCTCTGCCCGGAGTCCTGCTTGGTTTGCCAGTCTTTGATATCCTGCCAGTTACCAGACCCGGGCGGTGGAACATCTTGCCCAGCTAGGACTGTTTGGAGCGTCCTGAGGCTGCTCCTTGAGGGGGGGGTACTGTCAGGAATGGACTGGCCAGCAATATTGGGACTCACCTGCCTTATGAGCTGCAGTACCAGGGTTGGCCAGCGGGTGCTCCCAGCAATCAGAGACTCAACCTTGCAGCCAGTCAAACACCTGGAACTAATTATACTGGTGTATTTAAGGGACATTCAGACCTGCAGACTCTGCCTTGGTGTTGTGTTTCTCCTGGGCCCTGTTTCCTGTTCCTGTCTGATTCTCTGCTGACCCTGCTCTGATCCCTGGCTTGTCTGACCATTCTCCTGCTCCTGATCCCTGGATTGTCTGACCATTCTCCTCTGCCTGACCCTCTGTACCACGCTGCCCGCTACCTGCTGAACCTGGCTTGTGACCCCGACCATTCTCCGCTTGCTCCCCCTGTACCTACCTGCCCGATTGATATTGACCCGGCCTGCCTGACGACGCTTGCATTGTATGTACTGTTATCTGTGGGTGGTTTGGTTTGGTTTGTTTGCACTGTGTTATGTTTTAGTATTGCACTGCGTTTATGTTTGTATTGTTAGTGTTAATAAATTACATTGTTTATAACATATCTGAAGTCTGCGTTTCCCTGCGTCAGTCACACACCTCTGGTCACACCCGGGAGCCCTGACAGTGCATTATCCTTTATAAATCAAAAATTTACATGTGAAATCACTCCAATAATAATAATCACCCAAGTGAGAAACAAGTGTATATATCAAACCACATACACATGCAATATACAGTGCAAAACCATGTATGTGAAAACACTCTACTGTGCTCAAAAACTCCTAACACAGTGTACACTTCTATCAAGGTAAGGAGTGAATACCCTTACCAATATTCAAAACAATTTTTGCTTTGATCTCGATCCACAAAGATTGCCCGATGATATAAATCCTCCTGCAGATGTCTTCAGGGTTTACTTTGATCCTATAGCACTGTGTGGATCCTTCCACCCTAGCAACTCAGATATGTTTCCACCATATACGCCATTCAGATACTGCCATCCAGGATCCAGGAGAGTCCTAATCGCAAGTCACAACCGATTTTTGTCCTCTCCAAGATGGCCGCCACTCCACTTCCGGTTTCTCGTATGCGTCTGACGTCACTTCCCTTTGACGCGTTTCGTCATTGGACATAATCATAAATGATTATCATTTATAAATGATAATCATTTATGATTATCATTTATGATTATGTCCAATGACGAAACGCGTCAAAGGGAAGTGACGTCAGACGCATACGAGAAACCGGAAGTGGAGTGGCGGCCATCTTGGAGAGGACAAAAATCGGTTGTGACTTGCGATTAGGACTCTCCTGGATCCTGGATGGCAGTATCTGAATGGCGTATATGGTGGAAACATATCTGAGTTGCTAGGGTGGAAGGATCCACACAGTGCTATAGGATCAAAGTAAACCCTGAAGACATCTGCAGGAGGATTTATATCATCGGGCAATCTTTGTGGATCGAGATCAAAGCAAAAATTGTTTTGAATATTGGTAAGGGTATTCACTCCTTACCTTGATAGAAGTGTACACTGTGTTAGGAGTTTTTGAGCACAGTAGAGTGTTTTCACATACATGGTTTTGCACTGTATATTGCATGTGTATGTGGTTTGATATATACACTTGTTTCTCACTTGGGTGATTATTATTGGAGTGATTTCACATGTAAATTTTTGATTTATAAAGGATAATGCACTATGAATATTTTAGGTTTTTTTTTGAGGTAATCAAGTTTTTGCAAGCAGTGGAGAGTTTTTACACTTGAATCAATTTTGGACTACACGTATTTATTTTTTTTTACTGGGATATTGGATATATATATTTTTGGACATTTCGGTTTCTAATTTTTATAATTTTATATATATTTTGGACTTTAATTTGAAATTATTATCTAATGAAGGGTTTCTTTTATTAATTTTCACTGAGCATATTTATGTTTATATTTGTGCACCTCTAAGGGTAGAGGCGAAGTGTGCTTAAAAAGAGTTGGGAAGAATTAGTGATCTATATTTACTAAGGTGTTCCAACTGTCAGTGTGGTCAAATGGCTGAAGTGTTTCGGGGTCAAATCCCTTTCCTCAGAGCTACTGACCAGCCTCTGGTGCAGATGTGTAGTGGATGGATGATGGGAGCCTTGCTGGTGATGCCTCTCATGCATCGCCAGCAAGGCTCCCATCATCTATCCACTACATATCTGCACCGGAGGCTGGTCAGTAGCTAATGTGTGCATTTTTTATGCATTGTAAAAGCGTTTTCAATGCATTTTAGGCCTGGTTCACACCATTGCAGATTGCATTTTGTCTATTTTGCAGTGTATTTTTTTTAATGTGCATTTTTGATGAATTGTTTTTATGCGTTTTGCATTTTTTAAATTTTTGTGTGATCAACTTATTGCTGGGTAGGTTAAAATCGCAAAACACATCGCATGTGTGTTTCTGATGTGTTTTTTAAAGTATTTTCAATGCATTCCAGGCCTGGTTCACACCATCTAGTTTGCATTTTGTATGTTTTGCAGTGCTTCTGGCAGTGCTTTTTGCATGTGCATTTTTTATGCATTTTTTTTATGCATTTTAAATTTTTTTTTTATGTTTTTTGGCCAAGCAGATTAAAAACGCAAAACACGTGTGTTTTTGATGTGTGTTCACACCAAATAAAGTGTGCATTTTTCAGTGCTGTTTGCAGTGCATTCTGTATTTTTTGCATGCACTTTTTTATTCGTTTTGCATTTTTTTTATGTATTTTTTTTGGGCCAACTTGTTCCTGGGCAGATTAAAACCGCAAAAGGCATTAAAAACCCAGCAAACGCTTCAAAACATGTGTTTTCTGAAGCATCTCCATTGAAGTCTATTGAATGTTTTGCGTTTAAAAAAAGTCCCTTACCCTTTCCAAAAATGCAGCAACTCAAAAAAGCACAGATGTGAACGTGTCCCACAGGAAACCATGTTAAATGGACTGTACTGCATTTTTCCTTTCAGGTGTGATATGGATTTTGTGGAGAACCCTACACCAAAATTAAAAAAAACCTCATGGGGCCCCCCAAAATCCATATCAGGCCCTTATCTCTTAGCATGCAGCCTGGCAGGCCAGGAAAGGGGGGAATGAACCAGGGCCCCCTGAACCATACCAGGCTACATGCCCTCATGGGGGGGTGTTTGGGGACCACTTGTCTCCATGTTGATGGGACAAGGGCCTCTTCCCCACAACCCAGGGTGGTAGTTGTGGGGGCTTATCAAAATCTGTAAGGAGCCCCCAGATCCCGGACCCCCCCTACTCATTCACCAAAAAAAGTGTCAAAGGTAAAAAAAAGAAAACACTGTTTTTGTCAAGTCCTTTACTGAGAACCCCCCCCAAAAAAAAATAAATTCTGCCACTGTCTGAATGCATCTATTCCGTGTTCCATCATATGCCGAATGACAGGCGAAGATGGGGGTGGAGTCATTCGGTGAGGGCATGTGGCTCGATATAGTTCCGGAGGGGGGAGGGCTCATTCCTCCTTCCTGGCATGCCGGACAGCATGCTCAGAAAAGGGTCTGGTATGGATTTTGGGTGGGAACCTTATGCATTTTTTAAACATTTTGGAGTGGGGTTCCCCTTAAAATCCATATCAAACCTAAAGGTCTGGTTTGGATTTTGGGGGTGACCACACGCTTTTTAAATACATTTTGACATGGGGTTTCCCTCAAAACATATATTGGCCCCGAAGCACCTGGTAATGATTGGGGGGGTCCCCATGCTGTTTTTTTTTTTTGTTTATATTCTGTGGTGGACAGAAGTCATGATTGTTAAGGATGTGGTAGCCAGCAGACCGTCCACTCCTTAACAACCAGCTTTTAACAAATCAATTCGCATCATGCTTCAAACATCTGAATGAAACAAATGAATTTCATTGTTTCGTTATCATTTATTTCAGATTGGTTGAAATTCAGTACTGTTGTTATTCAGAGATTCGGAAACATTGGAATCTCAGACTAACAAATTTTGTCTGAATTTAAATTCAAAACGGAAAGAATCGCACATGTCTAATGAAAATTGACAGAGTTCATATTTCTGAAAGTCCTTGCAGTTTCCAATAAATTGTAGTAGTAAAAATTACACGTCTATTTATCCAGGGTAACCGTGCTGGCATCCCATTCTTCCTATCCTTTTCCCCCCACTAGCAAACAATGTCAAGCAAAACATGTTAATTTCTAATGTTTCTAACTCACTTGTAAAATCTTTATGGTGGCATAGATTCATATGTCTTCAACATGAAAGACTCTCCTCAAAAAGCTTTAGCAAAGTCCATAAATGTTGTTTAAGTTAACCGCTTCCCGACTGCCCTATAGCAAATCCACTGCTGTAGGGCTGTGCAAAATCGTGTGTGTGTATATATATATGTGTGTGTGTGTGTAATATATGTGTATGTATATATATGATTTTACATTTCCTGGCGGGGGGGGGACGCACGCAGTCCTACCCACACCGCCATTGGCAG